GCCCTGCACACACCGCCCCCAGATCCGACTTGTGTACTGTGCTCTTTCCTTCGTTCAGTAAATATTTACTGATATTTACTGATCCCCTAGCACGGGTGGCCTGGGAATGCCGGTGAGGAGGACAGAAAGCATCTGTGCCCTCCTGAAGCCCAGGGCCTGGTCAGAGGCTAAGGCGATGACTTGACATGACAGACGGTACATTAGTTTGTTGGTTCGTGTCTTCAGTGATTTTTGCTGAGTCCCTACCATGCGTCAGCTCTGTGCTGGGTGCTGGGGTTACAGCAGTGAGCAAGAGTCAGGCCAGGCCTTCATGGGGCTCAGACGCTGGTGAGAGGAGCAGTAAGTGTGGGGGTGAAATGATACGTAATGTCATGTCAGGCGGTGACAAACGCTGCAAGGGGACGGAGATTCATGGTGGGAGCTATCTTAGGCCGGGGAAGGGGCCTCCTCTGAAGAGGAGATGTGGGCAGGGACCCGAAGCCAGGGAGCTTGCTGGACGAGAGGGCAGGTGTGGCAAAGGCCCGAAGCGGGATGTGCCGAGAGGACTAGAGAAGGCCTATGCGGTTTGGGCAGAAGGAACGAGGGGAAGGGCAGGAGATGATGTCAGGAGGATATAAGTCCACCGTCTCTTAGCTGAAGCCCATGCAGCCAAATGTGTTGCTAATCCAGACTTTTGCAGCTTTTAGGAAGGGCCCTGATATTCACCCCCAGCAGAGTAGAGGCAGATCCCCATAATTATCACATGAATGTACCTACGTGGAAACACACGGACATCCGTACGAAGGCCAATAAGTAAAAGGCATAAATAGCTTCATGTTGGTTCAGGTCAGGTTTTGCCACCACGTGGGTTTTGAAAATCTTGATTTTTTAGGGCTTTGTGGATTTCAGAATTGCGGAGCGGGAACTGAGGATCTGGAGTGGAGACCAGTGGTCTAGGACATGTGGCCGTTAGAAGGACTCAGATTTCACTCCCAGTGGGATGAGGAGCCACAGGAGGGGGATGATCTGACTTTTGTTTTGCAGTTATCACCTTGACTGCCCTGTGGGGCCCAGGCTCTAGGAGGCGAGGGTGGAGGCAGAGAGGCTGGGGAGGAGGCTGCTGCAAGGGTCCAAGCAGATGATGGTGGCCTGGACCAGCGTGGTGGGATGGGCTGAGAAATGGTCAGATTCTGGCTATATTTTGGAGGGAGAGCCAAGAGGACTTGCTGATG